ATTTAAGTGCACGCCAAGGACGCTGATGGTAAGTTTAAATAAGTCATAATTTATATATTGATATTTTTTTATTAAAGTAAAATAATGAAGATCGGGTTCAATTCCCTTTGAGGCAAGGTTGCAAAGGGTGGATTAATAAAAACGAAATCCACCAAAATGGGGATAAAAGTCATCCACTCTTCATCAACCAGAACCAGAGAGCGGCTCGGGGGCGCGCCAGGGTTGTGGACGACGCATCGGAAGCCGACTGCTTGAGACTCGTTAATAAGTAGCCATTAATTATCTGTCGTCACGTATGAATGAGTTTGAATATTTCGGTTATCCCAGGGCGATTTTTATATATGCAAATTAATACGATCAATTCTCTTAATATATATTATAATCTATTTGATAAATTTGATGACTAATGATGACTTGTTATAATAATCATCTTTTTTAAGACTGACATAATTTATATAAAATTAATTTGTTATCTATATAATTCTTGTGTGTATTATTTTGTAATTATTTCTTATTTTAATTCTTATATACTTAATTTATAATTGACTAATAATTGATTTTGATTATTATTCAATAACTAAAAAATATTTATATTCAATTTAATCTTTGCTATAAATTTGTATTGTCATAAAAATAACATATTTGTTACACAATTAGAAAACATTTTTTATAATATCTTCAAAAAATTTAATATTTCAATTGTCTTTTCCATGGACAATACTTTACAAAAACAATTTTCAATAAACATTAAAAGAAAATCAAATAAATACTATCTATCAAGTTCCATGTTTCCATTGTAATAGTGTTTACATTGGAGAAACTCGTAGATATTTGAAAAGAAGAATGTACGAACATGCCCGATCAACGAGAGCAGAAAATGACACAGGCAATACAGCCCTATTTTTACATGCAAAGGACTTAAAACACAATTTTGATTTTAACAAAGTTAAAATATTAGAAACGGAACAAAATGAAAATAAAAGACTTTTAATAGAATTAATTTATATCATAAAAAACAAAAATTCAATAAATTTTAAAAGTGATATTCAAAATATAAGTAAAATTTATCAGGGTTTTCTTAATAATTTAACTTAAAATTAATTAATTATAAATTAAATTCAAATTCAGCAAAACTTGAATTTTATTTAAGTCTAACCTCCAAAACATCTATGAACCAGGCTTCACTATAACATAACCAAGAATCTCTCATAAATTCATAATCTATGGTAATTATCTGCTAACTTCACTCTGAGAGACTTTATAAAAAAGCGGTTATGAATTGATTAATCATAACTTTTTATTCTAATTTTATTTATTTAAATATGTAGTGGTGGTGGTGAGGAGTTGTTTCTCAACTCCTAAAACAAATTAAACATGCTTTACCACGTATGTATTCTCACGTTTCTGTTATAGAAAGAAAATTTTTTCAATTATTGTAATTTATAATTTTTGTAATTAATAACTTATAATTTTTTAGAATGTTTTCTCTTGAAAAGGATGGTGGCTACCATCGAAACGTCGAGACAATTATATTAATAATAAATATCTTGACAAACTTAAAAATTGTCTTCAAAATTTTTTAATGAAAAATTTGGATTTTTTGGCCTAAACCTCAAAACAAGAATTATATTAAGATCCAAAAACTGACTTTTAACAAAATATTTAATTTGGTTTTTTTAGGAATGAAAATTTCGATATTTCCTAAGATTATTCACAATAAAGTCAATTAAAAAAATTTTTTATGTTTACTTTCCCTTTTTTGCTTCAAATAACTCAATAAAATACTTAACATCCAACCATTAACTTCGCAATAAATCAGGTTTATTAATTAAAAAACGCAATTTTAGAAAAGGGACCACTTTGTCGGATGTCCGTTATTTTTTCATTATTTCAAAATGGAGGGAGGGGGAAAATTCGAAACCTACTAATTTTTCATCCTAAAGGTGAAGACTTAAAACAATTCTTATCTGAATAACATCCTAGAAAAACAAAAGATATTCGCATTAAAATCTTTGATTTCGATTTTCTCGAAATGAAGATTTTGACATTCTGAAGTTTAAAATTCTATAACTCAGCGATTTTTGCATCAAATTGGACTTAAGACGTATCAAAATTTTCCAAATTTAACAAGGAATTAGACCATATAGATGAGTCCAATAGTGCCAAAGTGGTCCCTTTTCATGCTGACGTCCACATATAAGGAAAATAAATAGTTTTGCGAACATGAATTGTATTTACACCGGAGTGGTTAGTAAAAAGTTTACTAAAATTTCGTAGACAATTTAACGAATAATGATACATAAAATCTTTCAATGTACTAGTGTACATTAAAAGATTTTATATGTATCATTTTTCGTTAAATTAAACCGTCCACGAGTATCAGGACGATTACACTCGACTCTATGAAAAAACATGACATCACTTTTTCAATCATATCTCGGAAATAAAAGGAGATACAAAAACAACTTAGGGGCCGTTCAAAAAATACGTAACGCTTTAGGGGGGAGGGGCGGTCAAGCTATTTGTTACGGTCAGCAGAAAAAATGGCGCTAATGTATACAGCATTGCGTTACATGGGGGGAGATGGGGGTCCAAATTTCCGAAAAATCGCGTTACGTATTTTTTGAACGGCCCCTTAAACTTCTACATATCTCAATCTGGTGAGCTGAAATTCGGTACAGATACATATTTTCACGTCTATAGACGTGAAAAATACAGCGAACCCGATTGAAAGTTATGGTCACGAACTAGCACTGAATGAAATCGATTTTTTCAGAAAAAATTACGACAAATGACCCTGTCCCCCCACCTTAACTTCTACATATTATGACCTAGTGAGCTAAAATTAGGTACACATACTGATTGGCTGTCATATTTGTGAACTAAAAAAGAAATAAATCAAATTTTTTTCAAAAATATTTCCAAAAAATGACCCTGTCCCCCAAAATAACTTCTGCATATAAGGACTTGGAGAGTTGAAATTCAGTACACATACTCATTTTTACGTGTAGATTACGGGAAAAATATAGCGAATCTGATTAAAGATCATATTTGCGAACTAGGAGAGAAAGAAATTTAATTTTTTCGAAAAATGGCACAAAAGGACCCTGTCCCCATACTGAATTTCTACATATCGTCTCCTACACGGAGAGAAAAATCAAGCGTTTGTAGTATGGAGACTTCCTACGCTAATTTTGTATGAACGTCTTGCTAAAGAGGCATGCTTTTATACCTCAGTTGCATGAAACATATACTAAAAAAGCATGGATCTCTTGCAATCGTAGTATACTGACGTCCCATGCGTTACAGCTAGAACTTTTATGCTGATAACGTAGAAATTTATACAAATACAGCAGAAGTTTTACGCATATTGCGCATGTGCATTCTTTTACGAAATAAGCTTAACTGTCCATACTACAAACGCTTGATTTTTCTCTCCGTGTATTGGGCTAAAATTTGGTACCCATTTTCATATTCAATTGTAGATTTTGGGAAAGTTTTAGCGATCCTGATTGGGGGTCATGTTTACGAACTAGAAAGGAATGAAATTTAATTTTTTCGAAAAAATCTAGAGCTGTGCAAAATTCGAACCGAACCGAGTTTAGTTCGGTTTTGGGGCGCTGAAATGTCGAATGTCGAATATTCGACATCCGAATTGGGCTAGTTCGAATGTCGAATATTCGACATTCGAACTGGGCGACTGAAATGTCGAATTTTAGAATTCGACATTTTAGCGTACTAAAACCGAACACAACTCGGTTCGGTTCGAATTTTGTAGTAACTTGAATGTCGAATATTCGACATCCGAACTGGGCTAGTTCGAATGTCGGTTTTTCGACATTCGAACTAGGCTAACTCGAATGTCGGTTTTTCGACATTCGAACTGGGCTAGTTCGAATGTCGGTTTTTCGACATTCGAACTAAGCTAACTCGAATGTCGAATTTTCGACATTCGAACTAGGCGAAAAAATTCGAACAGTTCGGTTCGAATTATTTTGCACAGCTCTAAAAAAATCTCAAAAAATGACCTTGTCTCCATACTGAACTTCTACATATCGTCACTTATTGGGGTAAAATTCGGTACACATTTTCATTTTCAATTGTAGAGTTAAGGAAAATTTTAGCGAACCTGATTGGGGGTCATATTTATGAACTAGAAAGGAATGAAATTTAATTTTTTCGAAAAAATGTCAAAAAATTACCCTGTCTCCATACTGAACTTCTACATATCGTCACCTATTGGGCAAAAATTCGGTACACATTTACATTTCCAATTGTAGATTTGGGGAAAATTTTAGCGAACGTGATTGGGGGTCATATTTACGAACTTTCTTGATTCGCATATATTACTTTCAATCAATCATATCTGTTCCCCATATGTGTATCTTTGTATAAAAAACGAGTTTAATTTTGGTGTACGGAACCCTCAATTTTAGTGCGAGTGTAACTCACTTGTCCGATTTTTTAATTTTCGAATGCTTATTTTAAAGATGAAATTCTAACGAAGATTTTTGTGTTTTTAAAAAAATTGTATCTAAATTTTTCTAGATTTTTGAAAAAGTTGAAGTCAAGAGACCAAAATGAGAAAATTTGATTATTTTTTTTATTTTTTTCTCACTATAACTCAAAAAATAGTTAACGAAATGACTTCAAAGAGGAATTATTTTACGCAAAATTTAATCAGGTTTCTAACCGTATTTAAGTTCTATCTATATCTCCTTTTATTTACGAGATATGATTGAAAAAGTGATAGCATGTTATTTCATAGAGTCGTGTGTAATTGTCCAGATACTCGTGGACGGTAGTGTACATTAAATTACTGTTTTTAATTAAAAAAAAATTTAATTCCTCCTGTTTTAAAAATAAAATTTCTCTTATTAGAAATAATAAATGAGCAAAAATATGTATTAATGAAATGAAATAAATGTTTAGTTAAATTAATAAAGTGTATTTTGAAAAGAAAATTCGATTGATGAACTTGAAGATAAAATCGTACTCACTCTTATCATAATACATAAATTTGCGTTTCAGCAGCATCCAGATTTCGAGCCTTGAATTCCAGAAGTTTCAACAGAACGACCTTGATCAAGTTTAAGTTTGCTTGCCGTATCGCTGACAGCGCTTGAAGGTGGACCGACTCGCTGTTTAATTTCTGCTGCCATTGTCATGAAAGCTTGCTCTACGTTCATGGCATTTTTTGCGGATGTTTCCAGGAACGGAATGCCAAGTTGTTCTGCGTAATCCTGAAAAATAAATTTATATTGTACATTGTTTCTTTCTCATTTCATTCCTTTTTAAAACTTAGTCACATTTTATTAATTCTATATTGAATTGAGTTTAAAGCAATTCCAAGTACGTTAAAAATTGTTTAAGTTTTCAAGAATAATAAAAATTAAACATTTTTTGCTATATTTTATTTAAAAATTAACCGAACAGTTTTGTTGACTGCTTATTTTTTTCATAATTTTAATAGTTTTTCATGTCTTAAAGGTAAAAATGATATTCAATATTTAGTTAAATCAATTTTAATTGCACTCAATATATTTTAGAAAATAAACGATTTTCGCAGTGATTAAAAAACAGGCCTTCGCACAATTCTCACCGGTAGCATACAACTTAAAATCTTAAAATTAACAACTTCTTTGTAACAGGTTCAAAATAAAACTTATGTTACCAAATGTTGTTTCCTTTTTGTAAGAAAAAATTACCATTTTTTTAATGAATACTGTTAAAAAATTACAATTAAAATTTCTTCCATGTGTGATTGTTTCTTATGGTCTGACAAAACTATTATACAAATTATGTTTACAAAAAAATTTCTTATTTGTTAAAAAACTTTGCAAATAAATAAGTAAGAATACGACAGTAGTTGGCCACCTAAATCAATCTTTTTAATTAACACTGTTTAAAAATTGCAATTAAAATTTCTTTAAAATTTTTTCCATGTGTGATTGATTGTTCCCTATGGTCTGACAAGACTATTATACAAATCATGTTTACAAAAAAAATTTTTTATTTGTTAAAAAAATTAGTAAATAAACAAGTAAGAATACGCCAGTAATCGGCCACTAAAAAAGCCTTCAAAAACAGTACAAAAATCTTTCTTTTCAGGTACAAAAGCTTAGATTTGTTTATGATGACCTTAGGAATGATTAGTAACAAACAAATTGCTTTATCTCATACGGTTTTATAGCTATTCAAAATTGTAAAGTGTCCGACTACTGTCTGGTTTACCCTAACTATTCCAAGATCAGCTTTAAAATTACTAAGAACGATTTATTATTAATGATTACGCTGAAGAACATAACGTTGAGAGATTAACGAGTTTAAATTTACTTTTTTTGCGATCCAAATATGAAAATTAACAATTAAAAGGTTGAAAACATTAAACTGAAAAGAAAAAAGGCAAAAAATTAAAGTATAAAATATTTTAAAAATAAAAATATGTTAGTTTACCTTCGCTGTTGCAAATTCAATAACTTTCTTAGTGTGCAAATCACTTTTGTTTCCGACCAAAAGCTTGTTTACATTATCACAGGCATAACGTTCAATTTCTTCGAGCCACTGCTTAACGTTATTGAATGTTTCTTGATCCGTACAGTCATAAACGACAATTATACCATGGGCACCCCGATAGTAAGAACTAGTTATTGTCCTAAATCGCTCCTGTCCCGCCGTATCCCAAATTTGTAATTTTATCGTTTTACCATCGAGTTCAATTGTCCGAATTTTGAAGTCCACTCCAATAGTACTTATATAACTCTCAGTGTAAGTGTCGTCAGCAAATCTTAAGAGAAGACATGATTTTCCAACTCCGGAATCTCCAATTAGGAGGAGTTTGAACAAATAATCGCTAAAAAAACATTAAAGTTACACTAAAAACTTTTAATTTTAATTTACATTTCATTTATGGTTTATTTTTGCAAAAATGCTTTGGGTTTCTAAAAATTTGTGCAAACGAAAATGAACTGAGTAACTAAGAACGTCGCTTTTTAATTGCAAACTTAAGAAACTTATTATTAGGCGCTTGTTTTGACTGCGAATATGAATCTTAGGTCAGAATGGGACGTATGAATATTCCCCAATATTGACAAATAACTAAACTGTCATTTAAGAACGTTCGATGGTCTCTGAAATTTGTAGGTTATGTGCGACTTACAGTTATCGCCCAAGAAAAACGGCACTGCCTGTTTGAAATGACGTGAAATTAGTAAACAACCGTTTTCGAACTAGTTTTTCTCTGCACACAGGCACTATTTACAAAATCTGACAACGTACATTTGTCACAAATGTTTTTAATTGTCTGAATTCAAAAGATTTTGTTAATCCATACAGAAACGCGGTTGCAGGATTGGAAATACAAAAGTAATGTAATGACAGGCGGCAAGACGTATGTTACAGTTATTTTGCCAGTAGAGGGCAGAAGCATGCAGGGAGCTTAAAGGCTCAGCTGTCAAAATGATTCGCATTACATTGCTATTCGAACTGGCTATTTGTTAATACAAGAGGCCATTAAAACAAAACAAACAAACAATTACATTGCTATGGTAATTCCAATGCTGCAACCGGGTTTTGTACATGGATTGACAAAATCTTTTGAATTCAGACAATTAAAAACATTTGTGACAAATGTACGTTGTCATATTTTGTAAAAAGTGCCTGTGAACAGAGGGAAATTTGTTAGAAAATGAATGTTTACCAATTTCACGTCATTTAAGAGACCATCGAACACCGTTAAGGAGGAATGGGACATAGAATCTGACAAAAAGTTAATGACGTTTAGAGCAAAATCTCTATTTTGAAATTAACGCTATGTAGAAAAGTTTAAATATTAAGAAACAAAGATGGTAACTAATTATGACTGAAAAACATTAATTACATTAAAATAATATTGTTTTTTAAAAGATATTAACATTTTTTATCAGTACGAAACAAAAGTCTTAGAAGTGATTGTACTAAGATGTAGCCTAAGAAAATGAAAAATAAGTTAGAATCAATTAGTAAATCTGATGCACATACACTTGAAAAATATTTAATTCGTAACATTATAGCACATAATGAGGTATTAAAATTTTTTGTCAATGTAATTATTTATTTATAAATGGTTTTAATCAGCTAAAAAACGTGACAACGTTATAAACTAAAATTTTTTTTTTTCAAATGTTGGGTAGCACTGTCATGACGGAAATAGTTGTGGGAGTGAGTGAGAGAGACATATTGTACTGATGCGTATCAATGAATGGATAAATAGTTATCTTTTTTACCAACACAATCTTTTCTTTACAACGTTGCCACGTTTTTATGTGCAAAAATGTCAAAAATCTTGTATTTTTCTACTTTTTAAATTATTTTTTATGTTTGATAAGAACCGAGTACAGTAGAATCTCCCGTAAGTTAATTTTCCCCTATCATATACCCCTTCCAGCTAAAAAATACACTGCGCACTAATTTCTCTTATGGTAACCCCCCACTAAAATTAACTTATGAGAGATTCTACTGTATTTGAATTCTCCATAAGAAACAATGTTAAATTAATAAATTTATAACTTTTAAACTATTCAGACAAAAATTTTCAAACTCTGTGAGCTGTATTATAATATTATTAGAAACTCATCCACAAAATTTGAAGAGTTTCTGACATTTTTTAATGTGTGTCCTATTCCTCCTTAACAGAAAAGTATAAAACACAATTGAAATTTAACAAAAAAGTGATGTACAGATTCTGTAATTAACAGAATTATAATTTTGACAAACTGACTTACTCAAATTACTTAAAGAAGAAATTTAAATTTACTTTCAACTATCGAAAGTAATGAAAAACATACAAAAAGAACATGAAAAATGTGTTCTTTAAAAAATCTTCACCAAAAAAACCCCTAATTCGATACCAAATTCTCTTTATTTTTAAACAGGTACTAAAAAGTCACTTTCTCTTGTGAATGACGAAACAAATATTTCTTTAGAAAACCGAAAAGAATAAAACAATTTTTTTGAAGGTTTTAGGTTAACAAATTTATTTAATTGAATTATTAAATTAACACAAACATTAACATCGATAATAAGAATAATTTAAAAAAAATGTATTCTTAATATTTTTAATGCAGATTTTTTGAAAAGATGGCTTTCGTTCTTGTTATATATGTGTTCTCGAACCATCATGATCCCAAAATTGTTTTATAATATTTATAAACTAGCTGTCGTACCCGTCTTCGACGGGTTGTAGTTTCTGATAATGCACTTAACAGTGTATCTACCAACCTAGAAAACCGGAAAATAGCCGGGAATTTGATTTGACAGGGAAAAAATAATAATTAGTTACTATTGTCTATTTCATTAGGAAAATAATACCATTTGAAACAGTGACCGACTTTTTATTATCAAATTAGTTATTTTTAACTAATTCAAATGCAGAAAACAATATTTCTCAATTTGTAGTACTTCAATCAATATAATGTATTAAAATAAATCTAAAATTTCTTCCAGTTTTTTGAGTTATAGTACAGTCTAATTCGAACTAATTGTATAGCAAGTAGATCCAGTTTTTCTCGGTTACATTAAATTCCCTGATATTTTACGTCTTTTCTGGTTGGTAAACACCCTTTTAAATGTATTATTAAAAAAAACCCGTCCAGTAAACCAGGAAAAATTTGGACAAAGCCGGAAATTGTTTTAAACCAAAATAAACACCGTGTTTAACTTTTGTCTTTACATTGATCAAGATATCTCTAAAAGTTAAATCAGAGAGCCCACAAATACTACTGAATTAAGCTTCATAGCAATTGGTATCAATTATAATTTTTTCAATTTTTTGATATTCAAAACATTTTTATACTTACATCTTCGTTATAAGAAAGTATTTTTGAAAAATTATGCTAAAATGTGACTAAATAACATGTAATACTCAACTATAGAAAGTTTAGAAGCAATCCATGAAAAAATATAAAATTTAGAAATGATTTGTGTTAAATAAATTTATTTATTAGAGTCAAGTATTTATTTAATTAATCCAATTAAGATTTATTTGATTCAACTAAATAAAATTATTTAAATGAAATAAATTCTTATTAGATCGAAATAAAAACTTTTTAAATAAGATATTATTTTTCAAATAATTATAATTACTTGAATCATATAACTTTTTTTAGTGTAGCTATAGTAAACTAAAAGTTATTAATGTGAACGAACATTATCTATATTAATAAAATCAGATTACTATCTGTACATTGCTCCAAACTTGAAAATTTTTATATATTTTTTCGTTTTGAGACATTAGAATTCTAAAAATGTAAAAAAAATTTCTGTCTGTCTGTCTCTGTCTGTATGCAAAACTTTGTTCGCGCATCAATTGAAAACGGTTCAACCAATTAAAGTGAAATTTGGCAGTCTATTAGGTATTAAAGTAACTTACAATCATAGCCTTATCCGATTAAAAAATATTAACTTGAACAAAAGTTATGACATTTTTTCAAAAAATTCAAAAAAACAAAAAAATGCAAATTTTTTATCTTTTGTAAAATGAATGAAAAAACTATCCTTAGCTAACTTTTTCAGATAAATACAACCCATTTCTACGATAAAATTTTTAAAAAAGATGTATTTTGAAATTTTTTTTCGTTTTTTTAGATCAACTTTTTTCTAAGAAAATAGTGATTTTTAATCTTTAAGCAAGCTTTTCAGGAAAAGTTATTAAAGTTTTTTATTTAAAGATCAGTATGTAAAGTAAAAAATTTGCTACATTAAACAAAAATAATTAGCTAAATGCCATAAAAAAGAAGGAAAAATGTTGAATTTTAAGAAATTCGGTTTTTTGAATTTTTGCTAATTTTCCATAATTTTAGATTTTTTACCGAAGGGTGGAGATAACAAATTAGGTAAAGTATTTTTTAAGAGCACAAAAATAATAAAGCTAAATGCTATAAAAAAGAAGGAAAAATGTTGAATTTTAAGAAATTCGGTTTTTTGAATTTTTGATAATTTTCCATAATTTTAGATTTTTTACCGAAGGGTGGAGACTATTAAATAAGTAAAGTATTTTTTAAGAGCACAAAAATAATAAAGCTAAATGCCATAAAAAGAAGGAAAAATGTTTAATTTTAAGAAATTCATTTTTTTGCATTTTTGCTATTTTTCCATAATTTTAGATTTTTTACCAAAGGGTGGAGATAACAAATTAGGTAAAGTATTTTTGAAGAGCCCAAAAATAATGAAGCCAAAAGCCATAAAAGAGAAGAAAAAATGTTGAATTTTAATAAATTCGGTTTTATGAATTTTTGCTAATTTTCCATAATTTTAGATTTTTTACCAAAGGGTGGAGACTATTAAATATAAGTAAAGTATTTTTGAAGAGTACAAAAATAATGAAGCTTAATGATATAAAAGAGAAGAAAAAAATGTTAAATTTTAAGAAATTCGGTTTCTCGAATTTTTGATAATTTTTGATTTTTTGCTAAAGGGTGGAGACTATTCAAATAGTATAATTATACTACCGAAATAGCTAATTGTAACTAATTATTAATTAATTAATTATTAACTAATTATTAATTATTATTAATTAACTAATTATTATTAATTAACTAATTATTAATTATTAATTATTAATTAATTTATCCCGGGTATTTTTGATTTTCCGCAGATTGGTAGAAACATTGTTAAATGTATTGGTAGAAACTAAAACCCGTCGAAGACGGGTACGACATGACAGCTAGTGCTATATATTTTCAAAATTTTTAAAATTCAAAATTTATCTTTTGAAATAATTATTGTCATTAATTTTACTTAAATTTTATACAGGGTTAATTTTAGTATTTTTTATTACAATTTAGTCATCAGAATGAAATTTGAGTTTTTCATTTT